CAGGAACTCTACAGATGTCACTGCTTTTCTTTCTCATAACTGCCCTCTGAGACTGTCCTTCTGTCCCTGTTTTTCCAGTTGAAGAGGCTGCATCATCAGCCCAAGCCACCCAGCCGGCAGTCACATTCCAGGACTGCTTGGTCTTAAAGACCCTGCTTCCCCTGTCCCCACGGTGCACTTCTTGGGGGACAGGCAGGGACGGAGAACAGAGGCACTCTCCCTGTCCCGGGCTTCTGTAGGGAGGATGGGGACTCATGAGGCTGAAAGGGGAGAATTGGACCAAACCATTCCAGGGCTGCCCCTGCGTGGCTCCTTGGATTAGAGGCCCAGGCTGGGTTCCAGCCCTGTCTCAGCTGCCACATCAGCCTGAAGCCATCTGAGGAGGAGCAAGCCATCTGGGGGTGGGGGTCACCGTGCAGAGAGCCCGAGAGGGTGTTGGGCAGATGGCAATGTTACCTCAAGAGATGGGCAGAGATGGTCAGCAACACCCTGAAAGGTGGTCCGTGACACCCAGGGAGATACCCAGGATGTGACACTCCAAGAGACCTTAATGACACCGAGAGACAGTCTGACCTCCGAGAGAAAGCCACCACTACCGACAGGAGCCGCTGGGATGCCCGAGAAACCTGTGGACACAGCCCATCCCTGGGCCTGACCAGCACCCTGTCCCTGTCCAGTTTGGAGACCTGAGACTGAGGAAGTGGCGCGGTGTGGCACTGGGGCTTTTCGGGTGGTGAGGGCTGTGGGCCGGTCTCCTCCCCAGCCTGGCCTCTGGGCGCCCTCACAACTCCCATTTCACAGGCGGCTGGTCTGCCAGTCCATGACCTGCAATCAATCCCTCCGGGCACTGGCGCTTAATTAGGGCTTATCCAGGACCCAGAGCTGAGAAACCAAACGGGGTGCTCGGTTAATTGCAGTAGCTCCGAGAGGAAATGGGGAGTCCTGGGAGTGGGGAGGGCGCTGGCTTGTATCTGAACAAGTGCTCCAGTGATGCTTATTCCCAGGCAAGATGGGATGGAGGGTCTCCAGGGTCCCGTCCAATTTAGATCCTTCAGGCACAGGAATTCCCAGGACTGCCTGGTCCAGCCCCTCTCTTCTACACCCCAGAAGCCTCAGTCAGCTTGGGGCATCCTCCTTTCTGCCCCAGGCTCCCAGCTCTATGACCCCCTTCTTCAGCACCCTCTGAAGGGGTGGGTGGAGATGTAGGGGCAAGGACAGGGGGGCAGGGCAGCAACACCAGGAAGATGGATACACCCGTGCATCTGCCAAATCTCAACCTTGAAAGTTTATTCATTGCAGCACTGTTGGTAGCAACCAGAGACTGAGAATAAAAAATGGGTAAATAAATTACGGTCCATCTGCAGGAGGTGATATTATGCAAATGTAAAAAAGAATGAAGCTGCTCTTTATGTACTGGTGTGAAACAACCACCAAGGTGGATGCTTACATGTAAAAAGCAAGGTGTTGAACAAGGGTGTATAATATGCAACGTTTGGGTGAAAACAGAAAAGAATATAGGCACCTAATTACTCGAATATGCAGGGAATGTCTCTGGGAGAACATTTAAGAAACTGGCAAAATGGCCCTAGCCGGTTTGGCTCAGTGGATAGAGCATTGGTCTGCAGACTGAAGGGTCTCAGGTTTGATTCCTGGTCGGGGCACATGCCTGGGTTTCAGGCTCCATCCCCAGCCGATCAATGATTCTCTTTCATCATTGTTTGATTCCTGGTCGGGGCACATGCCTGGGTTTCAGGTTCCATCCCCAGCCGATCAATGATTCTCTTTCATCATTAAGGTTTCTATCCCCCTCTCCCTTCCTCTCTGAAATCAATAAAAATACACATTTGTAATACCT